AGTTATACAACTATTACAATGAACACAATACGAGTGTTAATATTAATTCTCGAATAGCTGATTAATGAAATCGCGTGATACTAGCAAGCTTCTAAATCTATGAATATTCTGGAAACGCCTCTGAATCAACATCAGTTTATCGGACGTTGTTGTCACTTCAAGCTAAGTGAAGAGACATTAGCTGTTCTGTGACTTCGATTTTCATTTTTGATTAAGCACTTGTTATCTAATAAACTGTCTTACATTTTTGAATGTTTTGTAGATTAATTACAAATTAAATTCACTCATGTATTTCGATAATGCAATGAGAAGACGTAGTTTATCATTGCATTATCGAAATTTATCGAAGGGACTAATTGTTTTAAATCACTCATATATATTAGTCATTACAGTAGTGGTTACGTTGTGCAAAATCCATTCTTTGAGATCGAATTAGTCTGTTGAATACAAAACATTAGTTCAGTCGATGAAATCACTTCAATAATTTTATTAAAATATTTGTTTCATTATAACACTTACTATGTGATTGACAGATAGATGAGTAGAAGATTATTTCATTATGAATTGTTGTTGAGTCGTCTCTCCTTCTACTTTAGAGAGAGTTGCATTTCTCTTTTCAACAATCAGCTGTGGTAGAACTTATTCTTTTTTAGAAAATGATGGGTTAGTGATGAAGGATTAAATTGCACTGATGGAGTTTTAGAAAAATTTGTTCATTGAAATTCAATATCTATTTTACCTTTGGAATTAATTTGTATCATAAAGAATAGATGGTTTCAGGACCCGAATTATTATGGGGCTTCGGATGCTATGACTTGTAAAAATTGATTTACAAAATGCATACCGTAATATTTTATCTTTTCAAACTATATTATTGATGTTTGGTCTATTTCACTGTCATCGCTACTATATTATTTCGATTTCTTTGCTATTCTTAATGCTACTTTCATCGCGTCGTACTAATATGGTATGAAAACTAAGGCTAAAGTATACTTGTATCAGGCTTCACGCTGATTGTGGCTGACAGAAATATATGATTTTCGATCTGAGTAATATTGTTTAGTAAGAAATTGGAATAACACTAAATCAATAAGGTGGAATGGATGCTATTTATTTCTGGATTTATGTTCCTCTTTCCGAAAATTCACTGTGTTAGAACGTTTTCAGATATATTAATCGATCGATTTTAAAGAAATAAACAATAACGAACAGAAGATCTGACAATTAAAAACACGAAGGCCAACATTTTTCAATTGTGCTATAGACTAAAATCCTCTAGTGAACTGGCGAAAACCAAGGATCAATGGACGTATAATTCGTTCTGTTTTAAAGCTATGAAGTAGTACGCGGCTACAAGCAATCATAAGATCAAAATGGGACCTTCAAGCCTCACTTACAGAATGAAATCTCAGTGGGAAAAATCATCGGCGAAGTTTAGCTAAGTTGACTGGTTTGTGTGTGTAACTGTTGTAACCCGCTTTGAATACCCTGGTATCAATTTTGTATATTAGTACTTCTAAGGCTTCTTAAAATGTGGTGAAACAAATGTCAATCGCTATTAAATTTTTAGTAGTTTTATGACTGATTCCAAGTTATAGGATATTATGTATTCTATCGACCAAAACTTCCATCGTTCGTCTTCAAATGTACCCAGCTTTTATAAATCATTTAGTAAAAGATAAAGTATATATATTTTTAATAGTGCAGTACAGAATAAAATTTTCATGCCTGATTGAGAGCTCAATAAACGTTATTCGATGTTGAGTTCTTCAAAAGGCTAGGATATTTGTCATTTAGATTAGAAATATGATGAACCGGATAAGGTAAGCTGTTTTGTTCAGTGTTTAAGTTGAGTTAGGCATTTATTTATTTAGTCAGTGTGCTAACTATAGTACGAAATAACTGCTAGTTTATTCTGATAACTATGAAACTACTTATATCAGTTAGTAATATATTTAATATGCTTTAAGCGGAACAATGAGACTTTTAATGATGACTAACTGTTTGGTGATACGTATGTCATAACACTTTATCTTCCGTACAGTTATAACTATACAAACAAAAAGCATGTATTACCCGAAACACTATACGGGTACCCATATATACTGTCAGTATGCTGACCTATAACATTTTTCAAATTTTGTCACTATGATTTCGTTATACACTAGTCACCTGCTATAATAATATTTGACACGTAGGCAATGGTTGTATTATGCAAGAGAAATATATCTCAAGTTCAAGTATTTCACAGTACTCTTTTTCTACAGTGATTTATGAAGTTTTCGTTCCAATTTAGTTCAATATTTAAAGAATAATTAAAATGAAACTATCTATGTAGTAAACAAGATCACAATTTAGATCGTGATGTTCATGCAACGAAGATATTTGAATAGAATGAAGTATTATTTTAAAAATTCCCACTTATTACTACTAAGGATCATTTAAGAGATTACACATGAACGTTAGAGTAGGTATACTGATTTTTGAATCAACTAATATTTGAATGTTTACATAACTGAATATTCAGGAATTTTCATGCTACACTAAATCCAAACGAGAAATATCATCATTGAAAAAGTCAATGGAAACTAGTGTCTATGGAAATGTTGATAATAATTATGACGACAGTGATCATCATGATCTATGAAGAGGTTTATTTGTATATTATTTCTACCATAGCCGTTTACTTGGCCTATTGAATGAATTGAAAATAAAACTTGGTTAATAGGTATATTTTGTTTTAATATAAAATGAAAGAGAGTATTCCGGTGATTTTATCCTTGAAACCATAAACTGACAAATACACAAAATCTTGTCCAATTTATAATATGTTTAGATGTCATATGGTTGGGAGAATACATTAGACTTAGGTTTCTTTTTGGTTGGCGTACGTTAGAAAGTTGTCCTTGAAATTTCGAGAGGGCAGTGATGTCCAGTATCACTGAACATTACTTAAATTCTTTGAGCAGAGTCGAATGGTGGCTAGCATTATAATCTACGACGAGCATTTTGTTCTACTTAGAACTCGTCAGTTGAATGTACTTGGTGTTGATCTTCATATCGAGACTCAAACCCAGTATTTTTCTTGGTATCAATGACAAGGTTGGACTTAATAGTTTCAAATAAAGTGAGCATTGCGTAGAAAGTTAGCAATAAATATATTTTTGTTATATCCCAATGAATATAAAAATGGTATTTCCGACTTTTCGTCGCCTAATGTGGACCACTTCTCCAGAGTAGATAAATGTCTTCCATGAAGAAGTGGCTTACATTAAGTGGCGAAACATCGGAAATACATTTTCCTACTCCTTAGGACATAGCAAAAATATAATTATCATTATCAGTGTTTTTTGCTTCAAACGTTCAGCGCATTATTCACTTAGCTACTGAGTTCAGATAGCATCTGGCTTGTACAATATGGTGGATTTTACTTCATTTGTATTGGTTGTTTGAATCTTTCCCCTGATATTGTGGGCTACAACCAGCAACAGCCAACATGAATGAACACTAATAACCACTGACTCAGGAAACATTAGAAACTACGCTGATGTACAATTGTGACCATCAACGTGGTCATCATAGTTTTTACCATTTCTGCCCCTTAAATGAACAAATGTAAATTTATTTGTTTGTGAACGATATTATTCAATCATATTACTAGTTGAAGTTTTTTCATACCAGTCAGATTCGTTAGTTTAACTGAGGTGATGAGAGGTCAGCTGACTTTTCTTACCAAATTTAATAAATTCTAAGTGATCACAAATTATTGTTACAAACCAGAAGTTCATTCAGTAAATGAATTTGATTTTTGTTGCACTCTTTGTGTTCTCCCAAATTCTAATCTTCCGAATTCTTCATGTTCCCTATTTTTTCTCTTTCCAAATTTATTTCACTGGATTATACTCCTTGAATAACATCTTCAAACTCTTAATGTATCCGATCATTGTTTATACTTTTACTACTTCTACCCCTACAGTATTTGAATGGACAATTGTATCTGTGTGCTAATATGGTATGGCAACTCAAACTGATGTATGTATGTACGAAGTTCTACGTTGTCGACTGACTGATTGACTGTTATACATCTAAACTATAGTTTTCAGTTTTAAATTGGCTTATTAAAATACTAACATCGGATCATTACAATAAAAGTTTATACATTATTCTATTGAATGAATATTTTTGTTATGTATCACTAATTGTCTCCTTCTTTTTTCATTAGAATTGGTATTTTTGAAAATTTCTTCACCAATGTTTTCCTAATCAGAATAATGGTAATAATAATAACTGAAAAAAAAATTCATCATTTCAATAAACAGTTAGAGTAGTTAGTATATTTGTTTTATTAAATTTTTCATTCTATTATAAATTTATTGTTCAGAATTAATCAATAATGGTATTAGTTTAATTCTTGAATATTCATACACAAATCTTGAGGTGAGGTAATCGGTTTTTTCATTCATCTAAGATTAATGTTATTTGTATAAATTAATTTGTCATAATTATTCTACACAAGAAACCATTTCATTATTGATGAAAATGATTTAATTATACTTTTAGGTATGAAGTTGATGAGTTGTAAAAATCCATTAAGTTGAATAATAGTTAGCTTAAAGAGATTAGAATTATATTTATTACTATTATTAGTATTTAAGTTAATTGAATTAAGAATTTAAAGGATTTGATGATAGGCAGTTTTCTAAAATAAATTTAAACAAACTGAGATCATAAAAACTTGATTTTACGAATGTTAATTTACTTCATTCTTGTACATTCTAAATTTCTTCTCAGTTTTAGCAAAATACTACTTCAATTTCCATTTCACGTGTTTACAACATTCGTCAGTTAATTCACTTTTGAAAATATGTCTAGAATTGTAAATACGTGGAATTTCTTTAACATTCATTCATTAGGTTATGATCCGTTCCTGCATTTATTGAATGGAATATACATTCTTACCTAACAGAAGAAATATTCCTTATGAATTCGAATTTTGTTGATAGCACGTTGAAACTAATTTGATAATGAATAACAGAAGATAGGCCTTATTAAGGAATATATTGAAATCGAATCAATGGATTTTACACTATCAAAAAACAATTTAGTATTTAAGGCATTTGGTTTAATTGTGATGGTCGATACTCTAGATAGGAAAGATATCATGCTGAGAAATTTAAACTTTGGCCAAAGCGTTTATAATCTGAGAAATATTTCATCACTGATTAATCATTATTTAGGACTTTGAACGAATGCATGTAAGCGCTTAGTTTTCAGATGAATAAGCCATACTTTTTTGAAATGAATTTCCTTAGAAAATTATCTGTCGACAGTTACTTGGCTGTGCTTTACTGCTATCTAACCGGTGTTGTGATGTATTTTACTTATGTTGACAGGTATAAGTAGTATGTGACACCTATTAGAATTGGAATGCCTGTCAAAAGAAGGTTAAGAAGATTGAACTGATTAAAACAGAAGGGGAATGATAATGGAATTGAGAATTGGAGGAACAATTGATGGAAAATGTGTAAAAGATGTATTAAATGTATGGTTTTGATAATTTATTAAGACACAATAAATTGGTTCTCTTTACTTACGTTCTTGATCATTACAGTGTTTTGTGTAGTCCCCTTGAATTTCCGTGTTGATGTGTCACTAGATGTTTCCGTAATAGAGTTCCAGAAAATAAAGTTTGCTTCTAAAGAATTTACCGTAGACGATTGGATCAAGTCCAGATCGTAAGAGATACTCTGAATAGTACTATAGTGGTTCAGGAGTGATTTACTCAGAAAACAATGTACTGAGAAATTATTGGGAGATTTCCAGAGTAGAATAGAATAGGTAGTTTATTTCTAAACTTAATTTACAAGTAGGAATTATAAATATATATAAGTGAAACGCTTAGTCAATTTTACATTTGCCATAATGTATCAGTTAAACGATGTAAATTTACTTCTTAAGTATGGTACAACTATCAAGAGAATCCTTTTATTGTTCAGCAATTTATTATGAAATGATGTAGAAAATTTGTTGCTCAGGTAGATGATATTGATATTATTGTTTACTAATAACTGAATAATTTCATTGTTGCTATGGTTAGTATGATCAGTCTCCACTTCTTTTTAACACTGAAAACTTTAGTTAAAACTAAGCAACTCAGACAAGGTATAATATAATTCAAAAATTATTGATTATTTCAGTAAAGTATCTAGTCTGCAACTAAACTGTTTCTATGTTGATTGAGTACCATTCTCTTTTTATAAATATCAAATTACAGTGTATTTTGCATTAAGTTATAGATAAGTGAATTTATTAAAACTATTATTAAACGTGCTTAGAATTATTAAAATGTTTTGTACTCATGTAAATTCGAAGTTTACAAACATTAAAATAAATACTCAGGTCATGTTAAATTTTGAAGTGATAATGACGTTATTACTAATGTCTTTATTCATCTCGGTGATTTTTAATGTAAACAGTCATATTAAGCTTTAATTATCCAGCTATATTCATTATTGAACTTTAATACTAAGGACGTATATATATATATATATATATATATATATATATATATATATATATATATATATATAAGAGAGAGAGAGAGAGAGAGAGAGAGACTATTTTTCACTTTCTGCATAAGTATTGTACTTTTATATTGTAATATTCAATATGTCCTGATTTCATAATCGTTTATTTCAAAATAAATTCTTATCAATATTTTCAGCATAAACATTAGGATTACTTAATTCTTAATATGATGACATTGTGTGCATATTATAGTTAATAGACTTTATATATACGACCGTAAAACAATTTGTGTAAATGTACAAAATACTTAATATCTCTACGCATTCTGTTTAATGTCAAATGAATGAAGATGGTTAGTTGTAGTGGACGAATTTTCTCTTGTTACACGGTGAATACTGCCAAGATTTATTCAATTATTTCATTGAAACTTATGTTTTAAGGAATTTGACCAATAAATCCACCTACTAAAAAGCTCAATTTAGTGGTGCAGAACCTCATAAACAGTAATGGATAAACCTTAGTTCCATTAGTTTAGTTAATTCTTCCACTAGTTTAGTGAAGATGGGTAAAAGACCCAGAACTACTCAAAGAATACTATAATATTTTGGGTAAATGAATTCCCTTCTATTATGTAATGAAGCATTGATTTTGTATAGGATGGTAGGTAGACACTGATGAGAGGTTATAAATTAATATCCATTACTCTTTAGTTTTCAATTGTTCTCCAGAATAAAAACTAATTTGATTGTTATAAGTTTCACGTTTGTTAATCCTTATGCAATGCTTATACAATATCAGTAATAATAAAAATAAAAATAATAAAAGTTCAGAAATGAAATGGACACTAACCTCACTTTACCCCACTTCACTATGCATAAAGATAAAGTACAATGAATTATTTGATATTGTAAATGTTATATTAGATAATTTACAGACAGACAATAAAAGCATCTATTTGTTGATTTTGTGAGTTGGATTTATTTTCTTTAGATTGACTGGAATTATTTTTTTTTAACTGGTCCGGTTTTTTGCCCATAATTCTTTTGTTTCTTATTCCTCTTCTTCTTCTTTTTCACTTTCGACAATATCATCATCCTTCATAAAATAAACGGAAATATTCATTTAAGTGAAAAATTTTCAAATGATTAAATCACTATAATATAAATATATGGGAATAACTTACGCCGTGAACTGATATCATCTTGGTGAAACATTGAAAATTATAATATCAGATAGCTGTTATCTTATAGTTTGAGACTCTCCAGCAGTAAGAACAACTAGGACATTATTAGTGGTTGAGTTTTAGACTTTCAGATCTCATGGTGAGAGTATTACTTTCTGATTAATAAATCAGGATCCCGCCATACAACTTTTTTTCTAAATTTTAGTGAATTTAAAATGTAGCATAACAATCATTCAATGAAGTTGATAAATAACTTTATCATTACTGATACATATAGTTGAATTTAGTACTTCTTATATAGATACCAACAGTCTATCTTGAATCTATTCACTAGTCAACTCACAACTATTATTTGGTTTAGTAAGTAACATTAATAAACTTTTTATAAATTTAGATAAAATTAAATTTAAGTCAGTTTAAATTAAAATTCAATGAGGTCATGAAATGGAATGGTTTTAACGATTTTAGTATTCCAACTTTTGGATATTTTAGTCAAAAACTCTATTTTCATAGAAAGTTTGTTAAATTTTTTAAATTTTCATCACCGACCAATGTTAATTGGATAGCTATTGAAAATCGGTAAACATTAAGCATCTGTTTCTTTCTAATTGACTCGTGATTATTATATTAGTAGTTTTTGATTGAGATCATGAACCGATTGGTGTTAGACCACCACCTTTGGAAACCTGAAGGACTGGACGACCGTTTCGTCCTATTTTGGGACTCCTCAACAGTGCACATCCACGATCCCGCTCGCGGGGTTCGAACCCAGGGCCTTCTGTCTCGTGCGCGAACGCTTAACCGACTGGACCATTGAGCCAGTGCTTCCAGATTTTCAAAGGTGCTCTAACATCAATCGGTTCATGATCTCAATCGAAAACTTAATAATCTCCAATTAATAATCTCCACAACCCATATACTAGAATATTAGTAGTGTTTGTTATTTCTTTTCTATTATTCCTGTCAATGTCCTGTTTAAAATTACTTTCTCTGTATACCAATATAAATTTAAAAATATTAAAAGTATTATATTTGCAGTTTTTGAATTATTTATAAGTTATCTCTGTTAGATGAATGTCGAATTTTTCGTCAATAATGACACAACTGAAAATATTTTAATAATTTTAAGCAAAATATAATGATCTAGATTATTATATAGGTCATCAGCTTATAGACCATTACATAATAATAATAACAATAATAATAATAATAAAGTCAACTTATTTGGCTTTGCCAAAAAAACAAAACACTTCTGATTTGATTTGATAATTTCCAAACACAGTTTTAAATGTTCATTTTGGTTAGTTTATTCAGTGTTTGTTTTGTTTCGTTGTTTTTTAAAAAAAAACACAAATTTGTGTTTGAAAGGCCATTTAAAAAAAACCGACATTGGACACTGAAGTTTTAATGTTAACTTTTCACAGTTGAATATGATTTTTTATAAATATTTTTTAAAGTTCATTCAGTTAGAATAAGATATTGAATAGTAACCAACGATAGTAATTAAAATGTAAACATGCTATAATGACTTTATATTACTTCTGATTTTATCATTTATAAAGAAATTAAAGTTTTTGTTATTTTCCTTTAGGTTTCTAGATATAGATATAGATAATTTTTAAAAGCGAAATTTTCAATGTTGTGAAATTCTTATTTTCCTAATACTGACTTATTAGTAGTATGGAGTTTTGTTCTGTTTTGTAAATTATTAACTAGATGCATTTGGTATTCTGGTATGTGAAAATCTTAAAAATGGAGATGTAAGTATTGAATTCGATTGTTAGGTATTAATACAAAGTGAAATGTGTAGTCTGAATATTAGATAATATTTATGAAAGAATTATGTATATAAAATAAGTCCTATTAGTTCAACTTTCATTTAGTCAAGTTATTTAGGATTCCAATTTAGATGATAGAAGTTGTTTTTCAGTATAAGACAGTCCTTTAATTGTGGTCGAAATCTATTCAATTGACATTTGTCACTACTGAGCAATCAATTAGTTGTAAATATCTTAGTTTAACGGAAGATCAGTCGTGAACAGAATATTTCAGTAGTAACGTCTTAGATTATGAAACTGAGTGACAGAGGTTCGTATCACATAGTGAGTTTTAGCTCACTGGAGATCAAATCTATGCTGAGCAAACGAGCATTAAATAGTAAAAGATGTAAATCAAGCAGGGTTTCTTCTTGATTACCTCCAATCATTCAAGAAATAAAAACAAGCGCATTCATGATTACGTTAAATATAATCTGTAGTTTATGTATACTCTTTTTCTACCTCATCTTCACCTGCTTCCTCTTGATAATCATTGTCTTCTTCAATTGTTCTTTACTACCTTCTTCATCATCGTCTTGAATTTGTTGCTGTTTTTCATCTTCCATTCTCTCTTTTTCCTCATTTAAATATTCTTTCATACTTTCGGGTATATGTTCTTCAATTGTATCCGATTCATTCAATTCCTGTTCTAATATGTTAGTCTATTAAATAGAGAAAGAAAAAAGTTTAAACGATGAAGAAGACTTCACAATTGAGCTGAATTTTGTTTTCATTATCATTTGGACATCATTGCCAGACCCTATACTTTATATTGAAATGAGCTTTTTAGTTATACTTCTTGTGGAATGAAATTATATCATTTCGGTCATTTCATTTTTGAGGATACATCACCAAAAGTAGTCTAAATTTTAGTTTTAAAATTAAATTAAATGTTGGGGAGTCTGAAGTTACATATTGGTTAGATAAAACACTTAGACAAATTAAAACTCTGAAATTTTGCTTTTCAGGATAACTTTACAATAATAAATGTTATTGACCATGTGTTGTTCTGTTTTGGTATAAAACACTGTTCGTTTTACATTCAGAAAATTTTACACATTTAATCAGATTTACTAGACGATGGTTCCTTGATATTGCAAACAGATTGAAGCTAGAAATATGAATCATCGGATACCTATTTAGCTGTCTAGAGGTAAATTGTTTACGCGTGAGACTAGGGGTCTTGGGTTAGATCACCGGTGTGGTCGTGGACTTACACTACTGGAGTGTTTCATACTACGGCTAAACGACTGTCCAGTGCCCTCCCCAGTTTTCAGTGATTATTTATCTGATGTTGGATCGTGATGTAAGCTGTAATATAAACTCAGAGCTTAGGAAACTATGTAGTACGGCTCTAACGGGACTGTTGGCGTAGGATGATATATGCCAGCTAATTTTCAGACTCTTAGACTGTTTTTATGTCATCATTGAAGATCTGTCTCAATCCATTTTTAATGAGGTTATTACACACCATTATTAACATTTATTTTACACCTTTTTTCTTTATTTCAAATGACAAGTCATCAGTATTAGACTTGGGCAGTACTACATACTCATTTGATTATATTTCTAATTCATTTCTTCTGTCCAAACCTATGGAAAAAGGGAAACGAGTTCACTTAGTTTTCGCATCTTGTTAAAATTCATGACAAAATATTTGGCTCTGGAAGGTTATCTATGTAGTATAGTAATCAAAGCGGTGTCATTATGCTGTATGGCTTAAAGAACAAGATATCAAATTCACTCATCTTCTTTACATTCACTGAAGTAACTTTTTTTGTAAAAAGACGTTTTTCTGTTTGAATAAATTGTTTTTTAAATAATACTAAGCTTACTTTCCATCAGCATTGAGTGGTAGAACAATGAATCATATGGCGCAATAGGAAATTAAAAATACCCCTGAAGAATATTTAATATGTACCGTCTAATTGAAATCATTATTCAAAATGAATTATGTCATAAACGACTAATTTGTTGCCTCGTCATTCAGTAAAAGACTAAAGAGGACAGCCTTGACAGTGCACATAAATAAAATAGTCTTCTTTATTATATACATATGTATATGTCAAATTCAAGAAAAAGTACGCTTTACTGATACCAAGAACAGACACATAACATCTATTCATAAAACAAGACTAAAAGGTAGTATTGACTACTATTTTAATGCTCAAAAAGTTTTTGTAATACTAGACAAAATTGACATTGATAGAATATTATAACATTAAGTTTGTGTAACATCAAACTATTTGATTGTTGTGTTCAATGCTTTAATGTTAAATAGTACTGAGTGTTATGTATATATATTCATGTGTGTTATTTAAAAACAAATGATGATTAAACGTGAAACGAGAGTAGAAAAACATAAGACATGCAAAACAAAATATTCAGATACACAAAAACGACAGTCTATGACATTTGATCAATTCCTAATCAATATTATTCTTCTTCTTTAAATCTCATACAAGTTGGTTTATGAATATTCATTTAACCATGGATTAATATAAGCTTGAAAATCATTGAAGAGGATTAAGCAGTGAATATCCGTTTTATCGTAGTATAGGACTCTTAAAGAAAGCACATTCATAACCAGAAAAGAGATCTGACTTTAGGCCTTCAGATCTCATAACAAGAAATTTGCCATCAATAAGATAATCAGTCACTCAGTTATATACGAAGTATAATTTAGCACGTTATTGATCACTTCATCGCCATATCGTATCGACAGAATGAGATGAAGTTATCAAGAGAAATACCAGAGCAGTAGGAGTAGAAACATTATCTGTAGTAATAGGAAATATTAAACAGAGGCAATGGGATTCGAGAGTAAAGAGTGAATTCGAGGAATTAAAAGACATGAGATAATTTTGAAACTCAGTACCTCAGAGAAACTAAAGAATAAATGCATTTGGACCATTTTGACCATATCACCTGACATCTTCAATCACTGATTGCGATAATTTCATGAACGCCAACCAGGTAGTTTATACACATCAAGACGGCTCAGTCCAACTGTCAGTGGTTTCATAGATTGATACCGTATTTTGATTTGGTAGCCCTTGATTTTCCTCTAACCTACTTCTACACTAGCCAACATCGAGCATCAATTAGTAACTCAGTGGCTACTGACTCAAACCTTGTCCTATTATAGTTATAAACACACTTATCAGCCGATACTGTCAGTTGATGACCGCCACACCCTCAAATCGACTTATTTAAAAGATTAGGGATTCCCACTAGATATTCAGGAAAATTCATATCCTTACTTTCTGAACTGGCAACTGATCACATGTATAAATCCAACACTCTCGCTGTCAACATGGTGATATCATATAATCATTTCTACTTATAAAGTTTAGTCAATACGAAATGGCTACTGTTGTTAGATAATCAAAGATCATAATGCACTATAAATGCTCTTACATCGTAAACCATTTTCATCTCTGGCAGCGGTATTGGTAATGTATACAAAAACGCTTTAGGGGATAATAAAAACATTTCTATCGAATTTTATTATTTTGCTAAGCTAGTTTGGTGGTTAAGTTGTTTATTTATCATAACAGTAATTCATTTGGTATCGAAAAGCAGATTAGACTATTGTGATTTGACCGAGGGTGAAATACATCGAATCGGAAGTAAATTTAGCTACGTTAAACCTAGTCAAATAACAATCGAATCTTGGGTTTACGTAACCAACCACAAAAAACATTTAAAATTTCTATATATCAACTTACATGTTTTGCTACGAATTCCAAGGCTGTACTGCGAAATATATCTGGAACACGTTTTTTATCCAAACGCTGTAATCTATTAACTAAACCAATTACCATTTGGCGATAATTATCTTTTTCTGTAATTGGATTATCTAGTGGATATTTAAAAACAGCCTATTATCAAATATTTTTTGAACATTTCCAGTATATTAATATCAACTACTGATGATAATATGAGTAGGTATATCAAAATTATTTCAATATGCCCCAATGTAAATTCAAATGTAATGTGCATGTGAATGAATGTAAAATTCTAGTTGAAGGGTTTTTGCTGATACTGGTATAACTTATTAAGTGTGTTTTCACAAGTTTATCTCACTTGAAAAACCACTGAAAAGTAAAAGTACTGTGCAGTTGTTTCATCCTATGGGACTCATCAACGATATGCTTCCACAACCCCATTAGGACCTTCAGGTTTTCGGGAGATATAATTGGGTTAACATCAAACAGTAGAACACACCGCATGAGTTAAGATTTGGTGGCTGATCATTTCAAACACGCTAGTTGTACAAGAGATTATTTGCTGATCGAAAAACTTAGTAGTAATATCTCTGACTGTATAGTCGGGTGACGCGCTTTTGAATTATTGCCGTAAGGATTGGAGATACGCTTTGCAAATTGACAGGTCACTTATTTCTATTTCACTAGGAGCACTGAAAGGCTAATAAATGATGATGATTATAATTAGAGAAGAATAATGAGACCTTCTAGATTCTTCACAATGTTGTTACAACTTAGAAATCTCAACTGATTTTCTTATATTTTTGTGTTGTGTTTAAATAAGTTACGTGATATTAGTCACATTATTTTAGAGATGATTCGATCATCTGTTTGCATAAAAATTGAATAACTCACCCACTAATGAAAGAAATTTTAATGAGGGCAAACAGTTTAATCGTTTGACTTCGGAAAATTTGGAAATTTGGTTTCCTCTATAATATATTTAAATAGTAAAATATAGGCAAACATTAAACACATGATTGAAAAGTAAAATGATAATGTCATTTACATTGATTGGTTCAAAGTTATTATTAATATGTGCGAATTAATTAAGTCTAAAAGTTGGGTTGTAAAAATATCCTCTATTGTTAAGAGCCATGACGAAATTTAATGAAATTCACATTTATTATACTAAGTCAGACTATGACACAGCTCAAACATCTATCATTGTTATCGGTTGGCAGCCGCCTAACTCTTGACATAGTTAATTACATAGGTTGCAGTTATTCAGTAGGAATTTGCGGAATCGTGTTAAGAATGCAATTACTTTATGAAGTTAGACGCTTTGTGAAAAATGGTCTACAGATTTGTTAGTTAAGGGACCAGATACCAGTTTATAGGGATCAGTTTAAGCTACTTAAAAGTAGTATATATTTAATGCACAGTCTTAATAAACCGTTAGTTTTAACGTGATATCAGTTTTTCCTTAGTTTTCTGTGAAGATTTTGTGAAATATTAAATGTAATGATTGATAAACTTGTACGTTGTGATGACATATGAGTAACTTATTTCTGAATAGGTGATTTAAAGCATGATGATAAATGAAACAAGACTAGAATTCAGGTCAAAAAGATTACAAATGATATTGTGATAAGTAACAGTCTTAAAATCTTACACATCATAGTCTTGATGATAAAAATTGAAATATATATGCTTGCTGAGATGACTGTATGCATGACGAGAATTTTCAAAGTTATTATATTTAATGAGTGTATCGTTATTATACTTATTGTGAAATACTATCTCATCTAATTTCCACATAAAATTCATCCATTCAAAGTTTACAAGTGAAAAAAATTTCAGCCAATATCTAATGTAAAAGACTTTTAAAGGTATCCGAATTTCCTCATTGAACTTAACTGTAGATTATTGGTGCATATGAATGAAAGAAGGAATACCGATGGGTTAATATAGATTTTCTAATGTCATTTTTAAACAAATAAAAGATATATTTCCCTAAATTTTATTAATCATTCTAGCTCTTGTGGGTAGCTTACTTTTGAAGACTTTGAAATATCAGTTTTGCAATTTTAATTACTTATTCAATTGATAAGGAAATTAGACAACAATAATAATATTGTTGATTGGATAGGAATGTGAGATCGGTTCACTTCTTATGAGGTAGGATTTTTATAGTTTAAGATGAAACCATCAGCTATCTCAGCCTATTTAAAAAACAAATTCGTTTAGCTGCCTCATATTTTTTAATGCAGAAAATAAAAACACAAAATCTATTTTGGAAGATTGAAATTAAAACAAGTCTATCACCTTTGATCTTGATGGTATCCAATGGGCTACAGATTTGAAGATAGGAGAATGTAATAGGTGTTAAGGTAAATAAAATAGACAGGACTTTGTTTTTCAAATGAACTGTGTCTTTTTAAGTCGAACAGTTACAAGTTTTTAGATGTTCGAACAAACATGGAATCGGTTATTAACCGATACATACTGACTAGATTTTATTATAATAAAGATCAATATGAGGTAAATTTGATTTTGGTTGAATTCTCTGAAAGTGGACAATAGTCACCCATGTGTTTCAGCTAAAGATGACATAATCGAAAATGTTTGGAATAATTTTCCTCACATTTATTAGTTAAAATCCTAAAAAGCATGTAGTGATTAGAGTGCAAGTGGTCGAATTTTCTTAAACTATAGAGAAATGATGTTCATCATAGTTTCTGTGTCCTTAGTTTTGTAAGTAAAAAATCTTAATTAATACGATCCACTGAAATTATATTTTAAAATAAAAGTTCGAGAAAGACACATGAACAAACCTCAAATTAATATATTCTAATGAAGTTAAATTTTCTGTGAAATCCGTTAACCTTGATAGACGATTATCACGTAAATGTAAACGAACTAATGATTTTAAACTAGAAATACCTTCTAGTCTACGTAATAGATTTTCTGCACAGTATAAGGTTTTTAAATTAATCATATCATCAATTCCATTCAATGTGTTCAATCGGTTACCACGTAATTCAAGTGTATGCAAATCCGGAAGCTGTTCAGAACTAAGATTCGTATCGGTTTCTGACTTTAGTGAGGCAATTGCGTTGTCTATAACAAAATTAGAGTAAACAAATAATTAAAGATAACTAGAGATGTTTAAGTAAAGGAGAAAACAGGCAGGACCACCGATTATCTTTACATAAAATTACGGAGTAACTTGATAAAATAGAAAAACCATACTCCAATATTTCATTCGCAAAGTGTTCATTAATTGTCTCAGACTTCATTGTTTCTGCATTTCCATACCAATTGATTTCTGTTCCCGTTCTTTCCTCCTTGATCTTCTCAACCTCCTGCTGCCAGATATTCTATTCCTGATTAACGTTATATACTATTTATGTTAAGATAAGTAGTAAACACCACAATATTGGTAAAATAGTAAATTACATATACTTTTTAATAAATGATCAGTATAAAACATTTAATGGGAATATAAAGGGAATGGTCAGTGTTTTCAAGGTACAGTGGATTTTCCCTTATTATATTATTATTGCACGAATTTCCTTATGATCTCATTTTTCTCCATCAAACAAAAAAATAACATTTAGTTACGGGAGTTTAAAAAATGGAAGGAAAATGAATGCTACTTTGATAGCGCAACTTTTTTTCTGTAGTTAATTGCTTTTTACGAAAAGTATTCACTGAAAGGTTAATCTATCGTTTTTATCAAGAGTTGACAACTGAAGCACTATTGAATGCAAACAAACACCGAGCTACTGGTTCACCTTAGTGCTCATAGGATTCCCAAGGAGAACATACTCGAAACCGCAAATAAAATTGAGGCCAGGACCTAAAGACTTCTCCACGGACACAAGACCCCCAGAATACTAAATTCAAATTTAATGTAGTCACTCAATAATTTACTTGCGTGCAGAGCTTCAATTCAAAATAAATATAGAAGCGGAATGTCAATAAATATGGGATAGTTGAAAAAGTGGGATAAAATCTGGTGGTTCAAATATTTTAAATCAAATTAATTAATATTAATTTAAAGCTCGATATGGAAGAGCTATAATTTATAGATGAAATGACCTGATTGAATCTGGTGAATTTCAGATGTTGAGGCGTAATTTGTCCATCCATATGGCTTCTTAACATTTTGGCGATACAGTTGATGTCAGTTCGTGATAAAAATCATAACTACAGTTTCCTAAATTTTGCGATACGATGAATTTGTTCAGAATATTATTTCATAGATACCTTTTAAATTGAATTTTTTAGTAACCATTTAAACACTAATAGACAGAAGACAACTGAAAATAGTTTGTCTTAAAGCTAAGCCAAGTAGTTCCATCGTTTAATGTGTTGTATTTTCTATCTAACAGAACATAATATGAGAAAAATTCCTCTGGTTTCCTATGTCAAGTTTTATTTGATCAATTTTTGCAAGTTCTCATATGTCTAATGTAGTATTTTTTCTTTATATTTCTCCGAAGACCAGATTAGAACAGAAAGATCACTCATTTTTATTTTATTGAGTATCTTATTAGTCACTAAATATGATGAATAATATTAATTTAAGAGATGAATTTCGACATTACTCAGTATTTTTCAAATTAAAATTTTGCTTGTGGCTGAGATTCAATCCAGGACGTGCGTTTCGACTTATTCAGGACTCGTCAACTGAATTTACCTACACACCAGTGTTTGTGTTCATAACTCAACATCCGCTTTTACTTAAACCCTTGTGACTTATTGGACATATTGAGACAATTCAGGCAGTATGAAAATATGTTAAAAGAGACTGATCAACTTCAGTCTTTAAAATCAACAACTAGAAGATTCAAATCCTTACACATGAGTTGATTAGATTGATTTCAGTATTGTGATCTGGTCGTACAATATGGCTACTTATAATCTACACAGTAATATACATTTATTTACACGAAAAACAATATTCCGTCAAGTCAACAATGAAAAATTACACTCAACCTACCATTCACCTTTAAATATTGTAAATATGGAAACGAAAGATTATTTATAGTAGTCAATTTGTTACTTGAGAGATCTAAGTATTGAAGATAACGTAATGATCTCAGTGATTCAACTGAAATAATTTGATTATTGTCAGCTTTCAAATATTGTAGATTTGACATTTCAGTAAGTGGCGATAAATCTGTTATAAAATTGTTACTCAGCATGACAAAACGTAAATGAATGTATCCACGTAGAATCTCAATATCGAATAGATTTCTGTTATGGGTGGAAAAAGAATTAAGGAACACATACAATAAAAAAGATATATATATATATATAGTGGTATGAACTTAGCTGTTTTCTACATCAGTCTCTTACTTTGGATATTGATGATATTGTTTGAATGAAGTACAAAAAGGATTATTAAATTGCACGTCTCTAGAGAAGGTATTTGAATTTGGGGTATCTCTTAAATCAGCAAACAAAGCCTGCTCAATATGTATGCAAACTAAAGTATTAAAGTTGTTCGTTTGTAAACATCACTGAACAAACGACAACTCAAGTGGTACTTAAATAGCTAGTTCATTGAGTAAATCCATCCTTGATGCCCAGTGTTTATTTAGCTAGTAGTTTGTGGAATTTGTAAACTTCCTATAAGTATGTCTGCTATCTTTAATTTCTCATTTTCGTTACACTACCATCAATGTTCAGTGCTGTTTTTATTATCATCCTTTTCTGATTGACTATATTTACTCATTAGCTCTATTATATTACATTAACTTATGTCCTAAAGACAGTTAAAGTCCTAGAGGTAACTAAAGATCTAGTAAAGATGGCTATGAGGCTATATTTTCTGCCTCTACTGACATTAGAGACTGACGAACTGATGAAACAAAGACTGAATATCATATTTTTATTGAAACCTAGTGTAAAACTTTCAGAAATTTCGCGAAACATTTGGGGCTATCCTTAAAAAACAGCAGATAAGAAAAACCTACTTTCACCAAGTATATCTGGTGTTATAGTGTAAAACTATATGGATGCAACTTAATGTAAAACAATAAGTCAGATTAATGGACAAACTTCTGATAATTTCCACGAATGTCCTGAAGAATGGAAACAGGTGCGTAATAATTCTATCGCTACAAATAGGAAATAAGTTATGTCGAATAGAGTTGATTTGTACTGGTTTTTAGAACAAGGTTTTCTTAAAGTCACTTTACAGGTTAAGATCTTCAAGTTTATCGTAGACTAAAATCTAAAATAAAAGATACTTGACATTTAAATCGCTTGAGGTCCCCGCCTAATATTTTTGGTCTAAGATTTTGACACTATATTATTCTTGATAACTAGGATTATCTGTTGAGATACAAACATTATACCACTAATTCTACGTCTGGTGATGCTATTAATATTCGATATTTCATAAATTCACTTGTTTAAAACCGGTAAGTAACTTGGTAATCTTTCAGAAAACCTTTTTATTAAAAGTACGTCTGATTAAAAAAAACCTAGCTAATTCTCGTCAGAAGTAAAATTGGTTTGTAAATTGAAGAAGTTTATCTTATTTTATAAATCACAATGTTTTTTAACATGTATAAATCCTCTTTAAAATATTATGTATCATTACAAATTTGGTAGTAAAACAGTTCTAATTAAATATTATGATAGTATTCGACACCTAAAGAATACAAAGGAACCGAATATGTCCATATATTTAGTCCTGATTTGATGCCTTTCATCCATGTGTATCTATGAAGTCACTTGTGATTGAGCTCAAAATGTTCGGTTTCATTGAGAACACACTATGTTCGGGTTGCTTAAACAGAGTTCATACTTATAGTTTTAATCGATTTTCAAGATGTCATAGCATTCATTTAATGGCCTAGGTGTCTAACTACCTCACTCTAGGTATTGGTTTGATTCTATGAGTCACAAACTGTAACTTGAACTACTGAAATACTTCTCGAAGCAAATCACTATTGAGTATAATTAACGTAGGATCTGGAATGGATATGCGCTGGGCAGGTTGCTAAAACGCTTTGATACAAAAGGATGGAATTAACAGGATGGATAGCAAAGAAATCGAAATAATGTAGCAATGATAATAAAAAAACTAATTGTTGAAAATACGGTTATTAAATACAGAGTGTAAAGTTACAAATGAAAAATCATCAAAACTGAAGATCTGAATGGAAAAAAAGAGTAAATATTTCTTCGTCACTGCGACTGATTTAGAATCACTCCACCTAAAGTCTAGAATTGCTGGTCACAATTATCATATAAATCACAATTAAACAGCCTGTTTCTTCCATCATACCTCTGACTAAAAGTCATTAATTTCATGGACCGATGCTGCGTTTGAGTTTGGCTCCCCAGTAGCTTTTTTTAAACCTACTATAACACCCGTCGACGTAGGTCATGGTTGGACAAAAGTAAAAAGCATTTCAAACTTCTCAGTCGATGAATGTTCACAACTTCCCCAAGTGATTTCCCATCTTTTTCAAGTATCTTATGCTTAACTTTAATGGTGTCAACTGCTGAGCAAGTAATCATTATTTGATTCTGTGGCTTGAAGAGGTCAGGTCACCTTTTAGATACTTTACGTTACAGAATTAAATCAGTAAAAAAACTTTGAAGATCATATAATGTTGAATAGCGCTCGATTTCCGGCAAATCACTGGCTAAAGGCAATTTGTAAAAAAAGGAAAACTATTAAGGAATGCAAATGTTGCGGGATAAAGAGAACGAATATGGAATGAATTTTAAAGTTTATCAATCAATGTCGATATTTTATAACCGTTGATTACTGATCTTGTAATAAATTCAACTGTTGAGATATTATTATTTTCGAATCACTTAAAACTAATGATTGAAACTGTTAAGAACTAATTTTATATACTCACTAGGTTGCTCCGAGATTAGTTTTATTGTGATCGATCTAAAGCGCGGTAAACACTTAACTTATAGCTTGATACAGATAATGCAGTTTCTAGTTATAGAGTATAACTTTGGTCAGAATATAAGGTATAATTTTAGTTCTCTTGTGTTTTACATATAGCAGACTTTTGATAATTATCTGTGATAATAACACATTTATGATTGAAACCGTGTAGGTTTGACATTTAACAATAAATATCCACCAGATCAAAATATGAGACAAGTGTGATTTAAGCTTCTCAAAATAACACAGTTACAACACGACCCGCTCAACCTTCTAGAATACATAGTATCGAATTTCGGATTCGCTTAGAATAACATGTATAAGTGGACATAATTGTCTCCAATTAGCTCGTCATCAGGTTTTACTCTACTATACAGGAATATTGCATAAATTTATGAAATATTAAACCAATCAAACCAGTTTAGGAGTCAGTTATCACCACAGATTGCAACGGTTTATTTGTCACTACTTCATTTCTAAGGATCAGGGTCAATTTATGCACTACTTATGAAATAAAGTTGGCATGCGATAACCGTGCTTGTCCGAAACGATCGCTTTCGCATAATAATAGGATAGAAACCAAAGTAATGGGATTCCTACATTATCATTACACGAGAATTCACATATATTTGCAGAGCCAAATATAGTTAAGGCCGAGATCTTATAAAACTGTTTTAACAAGGTCTATTTCAAGGATATCGTTGTTAACGTTTCTAATAGTCACACTGTTAAACTAACAACTATAGGATCAGTGCTTGTGACTGAGAAAACCGTTCTTCAATTGACTATTAATCGTAAACACAGTAAATTATTAGAAGCTGATGGTTACATCCAGGATTACTGTAATCCCTTGTGGAAATTCTTCTAAAGCCACTACGTATGCTGTTCAACATATTTGTTTCAAAAACTCAACTCCTTTAGGAGTGGAAGGATGCCATCGTTGGCCATATATTTAAGTATGAAAGGAGACAGATCGTATCTAACCACATACTTGTCAGTTCAACTGGCATAGTGGTTAAGGTATTTAAAAATAAATTATGAGTAAGTTTTTAAGTCATGTAGCATTAGGTGATCTGTTAACTTCGGAGTAACAGGAACTTTTGAACGGACATTAATACGTAACTAAATTACTAAGTTCTAGAGAGAGCTGAACAGGGTTTTAAGATAGACGTTTGCTTGTTAGTGTGATATTCGTAGACTCCAGCAATCGATAAGATATCTCACTTAGGGCTTAGAGAGAAACTCTTCAGCTTTGAAATAAGAACCATACAAGTTTTGATAAGAAACTTCTTCTATGATCAACGATAGATAGTGAAGGTAAATGAGACAACTTCTGGGTGGAAACTAGCTGAGAATGACACGCTTCAAGACAAAACCTTGGGTCCTATATTTATTATTCTTCGTGTCAATAAATTACTAAAACTGTTCAAACCGTCGACATTTATTTGAGAGTATCAAGGTCTGAATAACAACACATATTTAAAGTGGTCACTTAGATCTCCAAGCTGATTTGGACAACTTATTTAACTAGTACCAAGGTTGGAGTTAGAAGATTAATTCTAGCAGTACTGCGCTAAAAAACACTGATTATAAGAATAGTTGTCAATATATTATCAACGAAACAACGCGTCCATACAAACAGAATCAAAAGACCTAGGAGTAATAGTGAGTCTATACCTGAAAACAATCGCGTATTGCAATTCAACAACTGTAGAAAGTTTTCAAGTGTTATGATCACTTAGCCAAATATTCAAATGCTTTGATAAAGATGCTCCACTTGCGTAAGATTTAGTCAAGAAAATTTCATCTAGGCAGCTAGTGCATGTCTAATTAAGGGAACTCACACATTCAAGTATATTCAGCATGAAGGAAATAAGCTGACTATAGATCATTTTAAACTCTCATACGGAAAACAATCAAAAATCCTGAACATCTTCCTCTTATTTTATTGTAAAACGCAAAGTGACCTTATGTTGCAACTCTGTATCTCAAGTAATAACCATCTCTAAGGACACTGTAAAGAGGTTCAAGAACTATCAGAAAATAAACTCAAGGCGGGACCGCTTTTTGTTACCAAGTGGTCAATGACTGAAACATTCTACCCAAGCAAGTGATGTCGGGCCCTCTAGGGAGCACTTCCAAGTAGAAGCTGGGTCTTGCTGAAAAACAGCTTACAATATTTAAGCGAACAAATATTGTTACCACTAAAAGTTTGATATAACTAGTTCTGCATGATTATTATTTCGCTATGTATCGAAACAAAAAATGTCAGTTTATGGCGTTTAATATAGACGTGCTTAATCCAAATAATTGTGTGCTCATTTTCAAAAACAATATAAGTTTGAGTATGTGACTGTCAAATGCATTAATTCAATTTTATTGTTTGACTTGTGGCCATTCGTGTGACTAAATCTAATGCATTGTATAGAAGTCGTCCAAACACTCATTCGTTTGGTTTCCTGTTTATCTATCTACTGATCATTCACATTTTACTATTATAATAATGTACGAATACTTGAGACTCTCTGACTAATTGATTCTCTAGAAAGTTTGGATTCATCTCTATGCAATGTGGATGAAACCAGCCAAATACATTCCTGAATTTATTTCACTACGATTCAATTACTGGCCTTTCTATTGCCAGCGTTATTTCTGTCCTAATACAGTTGCTGGTTATTCTAAGTCGCAGTATCTACATAAATGTAATTTAATAACAAAGAGGTCTAAATCTAGCGTTACTCCAATATTACTCCGAATGGAGATACTCGGAACGGATTCCAATATTACTGTTGTTCCGGCCCGAGTATCTCCATTAGATCCAATTGTAGCTCGATTTTTTAATTCCATCGTGCATACTAGTGAATTCAATTACTGAAATATATATACAAGAACATATGTATCCTAGCTCTTGCTGAGTAATTTGTCATTGGTCATCGAGCATTAAGATAACGGGTATAACACAGTCGTCATGAGCAAACTTGGGGACTGCGAACAAAAAGCGAAGAAAAGGAAACCAAACTCAGATTACTGATTGCGATAAAGTGCACAGTTGTATGTTGCCGTCTACAATTTATCTTGAAAGTTCAATCTTCTGAAGCAAGATAGACATGCCAAATAAACTTAGAACAAAAGCACTCAGAATCCAATTAAAATAATGGCACTAACTTGTCTGAACAGTCCAGTTTTATATAAGCATACGAAAAACCGTATCCAAGTCTATATGGTATTGATATGTTTTCAGCAATAATTTCTTTGGTTAAAGTTTGTTTAGGAACAGCTTCCTCATTATTCCCTTCTTCGTGCTCCAGGATTTCCTCATCTTCATCAAAACCCTCTGAAACTAGTTCCTCTTCGTTATCGGACATTACAATCCGGCGCGGTAACTAATGTCTAACTTTGAAAAGATCGGGAATTCAATGTTGAAAATCTCGCATAACCAATATTCAATTCATATGTGACGAGCCTATCGGTGTCACAGTTTGGTTACAGGTTTTCGGTAGGTTCGAATAAAAGTAAACTGGTTACTCGTCTGTACCGATCCTAGTGAGTTTGATAGTTTTTTCCCAGTTGGTAAGTATTTTCCGATCTTGCAAACTCATTTGTCCCAGGGAAGTGGGGGGAGATAGAACTGGCAACCATCATACTGCCTGATAGTAGACTAGCTTGTTTTAGTATAAGAAATGAAAAACCAGAGTACAGAGGGGAGAATGGGAGACGAGAGTTAAGAGAAGTTAATTAATAAGATAGTTTAATTAGTTGACAAAAGTTTGAAAAAAGTAGAAAAACGGTGTTTAAAAAGTGCAAGATGGGTAGTGCAGCATCATTGATGAAAAAGGAGGATCCGACCTAAACATAAAGGAAAGGATTAGCAAAGTAAGGGCAGCGTTCCCAAAGTTGAAGAACCAATGGAACTCGAAACAACTGTCAACAAGTATCAAAGTCAGGTTCTTCAATACCGACGTCAAGATAGTTCTACCGTACAAATCTGAAACTTGTAAAAATACTACAACCATCATCAAAAAGTACAAGTATTTAGAAAACATTGTCTACTAAAGATACTCCATGTCCGTCGGCCGTATACCATCAGCAAAAGAATACTGTGGGAGGGAACAAACCAGGCTCTAGCTGAAGATGAAATTAAGAAAAGACATTTGAAGTGGATAGGATATATACTGAGGAAATCACCAAACTGCATCACAAGGTAAGCGCTAGATTGAGAGAAGAGGAAGATCAAAGGGCATATTGCGCTAAATTTGGAAACAGACATAAAAAGTATGAATAGCAACTGGGAAGAACTGGAAGGGATTCCTCGGGATAGAATTGGCAAAAGGATGCTAGTGGGAGGTCTATGCTCATTGACGAAAGGGTAGCAAGAGTAAGCAAGTAAACACTAACAATAGTGACACATAAAGGATGATAACAATAGTAGTACTAGATGAGCTTAGGGACGGTTTTCAGGCTAAAGAACGAATGATTAAAATCTTATTCCGCGTGAGCATAATTGGACTTTATTCCATGAGAAAGGTTATAAACTTTCAGCGTGGACATATATTTCTCCACCCCTTAAAGTGTTTACTACGAGAGCCACGTCATTTTGGAATGGACTCCAGATGAGATCTTCCGGTAAGGAAAAAAGGTGCTACTTCACCCCGATTTTTCCATTTGATATAGGGTCAGACGGGAATTAATTCACGAGTTGATATATTTGCCATCAGATACTCTTGTACTAGAGAAACCTGAGGTGTTTATTGCTCTTTACACTAACATCAGTTTGACTCTTAATTTCCTGTATTGTAATGGGAATAGTCCAAAACGGTGAGTTCATTCCTCACAGCATCTGTCCCTTAATCTTACCACCCATTGTGTTTTATGCCCTTGTAATTGTTATAACCGAAGTCTTTTCCAAAAGGAAGTGTGTAAAACTGAGATTCTCGAGATGAGACCATGTGTAGGCTTAATCGAGCGTTTAAAAACAGTTATCAAGTGACAACATTAATCTACCTCCGTGTAAAATGTGTGTCATCACTTCTTCTTCTACTCAGTGTCCCCTATCACACATGAATGATGTCATCTCTTGAATGTTCAGTTCTCCAATCATAACATCAAAAGAGAGACAGATGTCTATGACCACTGCTTTGAGCTTGCTACACAGTTACTTACCAGCCTCCATATATTATAACAGGGGCACTTTGTTGATCGACGCATTACGCGTGGCTACTTGCGGTAGTATCTGTATACGAAGCAGTATGTAGGAAGTGGCTAAGGTCACATTGTTGGCATCTATTGTGGAAACCAGTCCAAACAATCTTTTTACAACTGCAGTGAGATTAGCAGCTGTGTTCTCGTCATGGGCAGATTACTTTTTGAGGGTCAAATTATCAGGAGCCAAACTCATAGTGGCTCTCGTTTTAGATATTAAAGATGTTCGAATATTTTAATTGTGAAATATTTTCACAATGAGTGTGGCCATACATGGAAGGACACAAACGAATTATACCAAGACATCTTGAAGGAAAATATTGACTATGAAAGAAACATCGAAATATCTCCGTGATGGATGGCTCGTGGGGGCGGTAGAAAAGTAATTTCGCGCACATATAATGCGCTTTCATGTGCACCGTTGAGCCAATGTTTCTCAACTTATAGCTGACATTTTGCCATTATATTGGGTTCCGCGCATCTTGAGCAGCAATCGTTCCTCAAGGTCCTACAATGCCGAACAAATCGGTCGAAGAGCGCTAAGACTAGAAGCAAAAATCACAAGGTCCGAAGCAAGGTCGTACTGCTAACGGTACAGAGGTGTGACGGCAGTAAAGTGTTTTCGTCAGACAACCAGGATAACAGCGATGTTGCCTTCCCACAAGGAGATGTGGGGCTAAAAGAGGTCAACCCTAAAAAGCACACATCGCCCTATCCCACAGATATCCGTCTCCGGCGGTAAGGTCTCAACAAGTACGGAGCTAACACAAAAACTACTCATAAAAAGGTTGTGTGTGACAGACCTCAAGTAGCTGTCCGTTGGGCACTGCGGTCACGATCTCAGGTCACTAAGATTACCTCTAATCCAAATTCCTTTTTCAGGTTCCTTTAGAAGAACCCTTTCACTGTGTGGGCAACCGGGATGTGATAACTGCCCTCATACGCCTAACAACACTCAAGATCATTGTATTCACTGTAAAATGGTGCTTTTCACAATTTGGATGCTAAGACTGGTAGCATTAGATCTATCGTGCCAGTTGGTAACTTAAAGTCAGTAAACCCCTATACTTAAGCACGTACTTTATATGGACACTGGTTGAATTTAGACGCTAATACCATTGGATGCCGGCTCAGTGGTATAGGTGTTATTTATTCATCCGTGAGGAGATAACTCCGCGGTTTGAATCCCACAAGGGGAATTGTGGATGCGCACTTCTATCGAGCAGAATAATAGGACGAAAATATCGTCTAGTTCTTCCAGGTTTTCCATGGTGAGCTAGATTTAGATGATTCATGAATTTAACTATTAAATTACCATGATATCCCTAAAACTCCTCTCTGAACATTGGTTTCTGTGGGATCGCAGGAAAAATGGCTAATATGCACTAGCTTCTGATAAAAAATCATTTCGTGATTCTGCCAATTTTTTACTGGTACACATATAGAAACACCATCTGTGAAACCATGTAAAACTACTGTCCATGTCAGCATTAAGTATGTTTATCTATGTTACTTGAATAATTGACCCAATACCAAAATTGTAAATTTAACAAGATTTGAAGCCTAATCTATAGGAAATAACGTGGAAGCCGTATCACTGTCTATACTGACTTGTCCTAACGTGACAGTCAATAATATTCTGTTTAGAACTTTGGCCGAGGATAGAAAAATACGCTTGAAGTGTAAAGGAAGAGGTTACGTAGAGTGATGAATAATATCTAACCGACTAAATGTTAAGCGTTCACCATTTCTGATCTCTGGGTGTTAAATTTTGAACATGGGTCTTCGTCACAAAAAGTGAACTTACGAAATTCCATGGCATCGCAACGCAAGGCCAGTTCCACCACATGAGTGACATCCTTCAAAAGTGTCGTAGAAGAAGGATGTTTAATGATAGTAATAATCCAAAATGATAAAAACTGGTTGCTGTCCTATGGAAGCAGTGTTCAGTGTTAACAGACATTACTGTGAGCCTCACGTTATGTCGTCAATTGTTGACAGAAAGTGTTGCAGTTCAACGTTGTTCTGAATGTATATTTTATCAAATTTCTTAATCCACGAGACGGTTATTATGACGTTGAACCAAGTTTTTTATGCATGTGTTTCTCACTTACATGGGTTACGTTAAGGCCAGTTGTAGGCATATAGTAAGAGCATGTACAATCTCACATGAGGTTGACAATTAGAACCCATTACCCGTTAACTATAAATTTTTTCCAGATGTTCGTCTGTGACGAAGAAACTTTACGCCTTCAGTGAAGATTTGCTGCGAGCATCCATTTGCCATAAACTTCATTGCCAACTATGATTCCATGCCCTGTAAATAAATGTCTTCACCGAGTACAATTTCCTAAGTAAAATCAACTGTATGACAGAATCTTGAGATATAGGCATACAAATGTGCTAAGATTCTGCATAAATCGAAGGAGGGAGTGGATAGCTTGATATGCGTTTAATGGAATAGTAGACAATCTATCGTAAATTCACATAAGGTGACAAAAAGGGGAAATATATCACTATTTCCCAAAGGAAGGCGGCAAAAGAGACTTTTTGACGCGTTCCCTCTTCATTTCTCCCTTGTTTGATTAAGAGTTGGCGTTTTATTCCATTTCGTGAGTTTTATTTCTTCTGTTTTGTCTGCTTGGGATGTATATCCTTTAATTATTAGACAGTTCATTTACATTACGAGACATAGGGCTATCATGGAACACAACACCGTAACTTCAACATCAAAAGCTATTTATTGTTCCAGCTTCTGCAGTCTTTTTTATGTTGACCGAGTGCACAATATAATTTTCCGGCTTTTTGTTTAAGTTATTGTTGTCAGAATAACAGAGTTGTCACTTTTTCGAAAATGGGCACTGATACTTTGAGTCCTGTTAGAGATAATCATGCAAAACGTAAATTAGTGGAACACTGCTGTCCAGAATTCGCCTTTAAACCTGTGGCATTCACTCGAAAAATCGATGTTGGGTCTCCACCTAAGGCTGGGGCTTTCATGCACAGATTGCTAAAATATGATACTCAGTTTAAAATCTTTTATAATCGAGGTGACTTTCCTATCGCTTTGGAGCACGATAGCAAAGGCAACAAAATTGCATGGAAAGTGGAAATCGAAAAGCTGGATTACCATCATTATTTGCCACTATTTTTTGAAGGTCTAGCAGAAACCGAACATCCATATGAATTCTTTGCAAGGCAAGGTAAGTAAGTGAGTATAATCTTAAAAATGAAGGTGTCCATGACTTA